ACAGGGGCGCGTGATGAAACTCTCGGACCAACTCGTTGAACTTGCAAGGCACCACCACCAGCCCGGCATGCGCCACTTTCGGAAGCTGCCGAACCAAAGCCTCTGCCAGAGGTCAACATTCCTTAAACCCTAAACCCTAAACCCTAACCAACAATGATGACCCATTGAGACACTACGAGGAATTCTGACCTATGAGTTTCAGCATGACAAAGCAATAGGCGTAGGACCTTTGGGTCAACATGACCAATGCAGACACTTTCAGCCAAGAAACAGTTGGATCCGTCAAATCTTCCAACAGGTGCGAAGTAATCACCAAGTCAAACTTCCCAGTCATCTGCACCAAGCGGAACCTGAGTCAACATGTGGAGTTCTGAAACTGCGCATACATCAGCAACCTGTCATAGAGGCAATGAACGAACGTTGCATCAAGCTGGTGCTGAGGGCCCGATTTGGGATCGTTAAACCGCTGAACCCAGGTGTTCGTGGATTATGATGTGGCAACTCGGAGCGCCAACGCTCAGAAACCAGACATGCTGGGCAGTGGTTGCTAGGGCCTTCTTGACAACCCGAGACCGCGAAAACAATTGAAACGATGACCACAAAATTGACAAAGCATCCTATGCCGAGACGTGCGCATTCAATGACTGTAACTGAAAACAGAAGGTTGAAGCAAGAAGCAAGCTTGCCCAACCAGCACCCTCGGTGTTGGTTACGTCTCCATCGATCAAGCCTAGAAAAATGGGTTGTTCCCCTCGGCAACATCGCTCACGGGTGAACAAGTGATCAAAACAAGCGTCACCTTTGGAAGAACAACAATTCTGAGCTCCAATCATGTCATCTCGTGAAAAGCAGTTCGGCGAATGCGTGGCCTGAAAATCGAAAATGACATCAGTCAGCCCTGCATGTATGCTCCACGGATACCCCACTGCACCAATGTCCAACACCCTGAAGCTGGGCGATTCCGAGCGGATTCTCCGAATCAAAGCGATGTAGGCACAGCGATCGCGATTGGTCAGCGCCACCTGACGGATGCCACCGGCGTCCCCGCTTGCTCTCCACGCATCCCACCACGAGTCACTGAGCGACGGATCACACGCGGCCAGCGCCGGTGGCACACAGCTCCACAACAGAATCAGCCGCGCAAGGGACGCCATGGCAACGACATCATGAATTCCAAGCACTATAGGTCACTAGGCTCCACGTGGGCGACATGTCAACGCGCTACTTCGGCTTGTCGCCGCAAGCGCGTGAACATCTCTCTATCAGAAACGATGCGCCTTCCGGGAGACAGTCCTAGCAAGTTGACAGATAGTTTCGAGCTGATAGGTGAGGAGTCGAACCCCGAACATGCAGCATGTTCGTTTGCTGCTTGCATGCTGAAGCCGTTGGGGGTTGGCATTTGAAACCTGGCTGAAGCCGGCCTCAAACC